AGAAAGGAGGAGAGAGGAGGAGGTGGTGATGTTGTTGTGGGAAACTCAACCGACTGACCGGTAGCAGGGACCAAGCAAGAGCAAATGTTTCCTAGAAGGCGGCAACAGAGAATATCACAAAGGTGTCTGGCGTCCCTTCTGTGCATTTTATTTCATTGCTGGACCTCTTAAGGAGACAGTTCAGCCCTACGTTTTGTTTATCAATCTAAATAGTATTGGTGTGAGTTTTGTACATCTCATGCAACAAGTGTCAATCTGATTCCTTGTCTGTAACATTTCTAGAAAGTTCTGCGTCAAAGGAGCGGATAATTCATACATTGGCTTCGTTAGACTAACTTTCTATAGGAGCTTTTAGCTATTTTTTTGTTTTCTGGGAAGGTTTTTTTTTCAGATTCCATCCTGATGTAATACTGGACGTGTGATGCAAAAAGCTGCGGAGTCCTCTTGGTTTCCTCTGGCGGTATTGGGGGGCTAAGCGTCTGGGAGGTCGTTGTAGGCTTGGTGGCAGAGAGATGACCTGGTTTTGGGGAGCTTCCTCCTCACCGCAGGGGGTCCCTGCTGAGAGGGGGCCTAATCCAGCTAATCCTTTCTCTGCACCCACACACACGCACACACACAAAGATGTGTTTGGCCCCATGCACCTACATACAGTACATTCATGCCTGCACGCACGAGGCCCCTCGCACACATAAAAGATCCATTTAGCATTTTATAACCAGGTCAGATTTTATATCAGACCTCTGCTAGTAAAAAGTCACGAGGGCTTCAAACGGATTTATCATTGGCCGAACGTTGTAGCTTGTTTTCCCTTGAAACTCAGAGGTGCTTCTGTTGTCAGGAGTAAGAGATGTGCACGGGGTGGGGCTCCACCGTTGTGTGGAAAAGAGAGAAAAATGGCAAGAGGAAAGGGGGGTGGGCTGGCTTTGACAGAGGGGCCGGGCTGATTGCCATCATGATCGGGCCAATCACGGCGTAGAGCTGAATGGAGCAAAGAGAGAGAAAATGAGAGTATAAAGATGAGGGGGAGGTCAGAACTGAAAGGAGGGAGGGACATGATGTCAGTTCCTTTGAAACCTACTCTCTCTCTCTCTTCGCACCCCCCCCCCCCGCTCCCCTACTTTGAGAATAGGGGGGACCAGGGGTTAATGTTATGCAACACACTGAATACCCGCACTTAGCGCTCCAATACAGTGACACATACTGGCCGGCTTCTCCTCTTCTTCTTCTTCTTCTCTTCCCTCCTCTCTTTGATTGTGGTTTATCTTTAAGAAGTGCTTAGTTTAGAATTGTTTTGGGTTATTCACCAAGCAGCACACACATGCAGATATAACACACATATCAAAAGACATCGCTTTTGTTTTTTAAATGATAGTGACGTCAGCTGGACAATATATCAAATTTATGTAAATGTGAGACTATACAGGTGCTGGTCATATAATCAGAATGTCATCAAAAAGTTGATTTATTTCACGAATTCCATTCAAAAAGTGAAACTTGTCTATTATTTTAATTCATTACACACAGACTGATATATTTCAAATGTTTATTTCTTTCATTTTGATGATTATAACTGACAACTAAGGAAAATCCCAAATTCCATGACCAGCACCTGTATTTATTCTTTTAGATTCATAACATAACACAGTAGGGTTGCAGATTTACAGCAATAGTCAAAGTTGGAAACTTCCTGTGTGAATTAACGGGAGTATACAGGAATTAACAGGAATTAACCGTACGTATTGGTGTAATTTAACTGTATTCACCTTGTCATATATGTCACAAGCAGACATGTATGCAAACATTTTTTAAATGACATTTTTCACTTAATCCATTTGTGAGAACTTTATTCTTTCATTGAACAACAAAACATCAATGTTGAACGAAAACAAATTCCCTATGACCTGCCCCCTCCTTCCCACTCTCGCTCCCAAAGAGGCTCACTTCTAAATGTAATTAACTACTCAATGTAGTTTCTCAAGCCTCAGGTTTTACTGTTTTCCTTTCAGGCCTCCGTCAACGTTGGGTTGAGAGAGAAAAATGGGCCTTTCAATAGCGAGTTACATCCTTTGCAAAGGAACACAGCATGTGCTGCATTCCATACATCTTTAACATACAGTTTTGAATTACGTTTTTATTTAACTTTTATTTATGATCGCACAACTCGCGCTTTTTGACGGACCCCAACGGCCGTGAATAATCGAGGTCAGTGTTCAACTAGGTTTACAGCTTTGGTGTGGGGTGAGGGGGGGTCAATATGCACGGTAATGACAAAGACGTTCAACAACAACACAATGTTTTATGTTTACGTTTCTGGCAGAACACGTTCCCAACTTTCTGCATCCAGGGTCCAGTTGAGCTATGCTTGTTCTCAACTACATTTAAGTTTGCTGTTAAATGCTTTTGCAAAAAACGTTTGCAGAAAAGGACTGAAATTTCAGAAATTCCCGGGCTTAACTTCCCATCCCCTCCTTTCCGCCCGCTTTGCAACCCTGGCCAGGAGTGTTGTCTTTTCCTGGTTTTAAAGACTGTAAAGAGAAGTGAAAGTCCTGCATCCTACTTTACATCGAGTAAAGGGGGGAAAAGAGTACTAAGTTTTCTGAACTTACCACACTTTTCTTGCTGTTCTGTTATTTTCCTTCAACCAATGAAATATCTAGATATGGGTGTTTCTCCTTTATCGTCCATCCCTAGTTATTGTGTGTAATCAATTCTCCGTGAGCATGTATCAGGCCTCATTTCAATAGAAGAATCTACTGTCATAGCACATTTGTTGAAAGAAAAGGGGACAGAACAAGGATGAAAAAGAAGTCGAGTGAGCAAAGGATCTGGAACAGGAAGCATTTGAAAGTCTGTGACACTTTGTTTTAGGTCACAGCCGAGTCTGAAGCGGGACACCTTCAAGATACCAACACATGCAGGGGTCAACCAGTTTCCCTAGGAGACGGAATACGTGGATATGTGTCATTGAAGAAACACAGCTGTGTGTACGCACACACACACTTACACTTGCTCGCCGAGTGCGTCCGTGCACACTCACACATTTTCTTGCTCCAGCTGGGGTGTTAATTTCACCCCGAGGCTGTGCGAGTGTTGACCCCAAAACGCTGTAACCTCGTGAAGTTTGGAATTTTCTAAGCCCGGGGCCGTGATGTGCTGTTTCCTGTAGAGAAAGCGTACATTCCTCGGACTTGTCCCGTTCCTCGCTGCCTGCTGTAAACTCGAGGTCCTTGGGTGGCAGTACGCAACTTTGAATGTGTTGGAAACACAAATTGTGTTCTTTCTGAGATCGCCCCCTCGTACTTTTTCTCAATCCGACCGTTCCTCATCTGAACTGCTAAATAAATGTACTGGTTCTCCTTGTTTCTCCGTGTCGGTGCTCCTTAACCGAGCTCTCTTTTGAGCGATGAGTGTACCCGGCAAGTCGACTTGTTAGTCCACTGTCAGTGTGTGTAGTGTGGTGGACATTTGTGGATTTAGCCCTTGTGAGCGTTTAAATCAGTTCCATCCGTGCTCTTCTGAAGGGAGGGCCAGAGAAACGTAGCCGCGTAGCCGGCCTAGCAGTGGAAAGCATGTCGCTCCGGTTAGCCTAGGCCTGCTATTAATGATGAGTATTATAAACATGCCTTCAGACAGGATCAGATGGAAATGCTGTTTGGGTCCAGAAAAAACGAAATCAAGTGTGTTCTCCTAATGTTCCAAGACATGGCCCCCTCCCTCCCTGTTCCCTTGGTCGGGCTGGGTGGTCGGGCTCAGCATAACAGGCATGCTTATGTTCACTTTAATTCCGTTACAATGGGCTGAAGATATGCAATATATATATATATATATATATATATATATATATATATATATATATATATATATAATCTGCTGTTGCACGAATTGAGAGGAATGGTTGGATTACGGTAAAAGTTTTCACAGTCACCTTTCTCTCAATGGGTATTATTCCTGTTGTGAATGTGTGTGTGTGTGTGTGTGTTTGTGTGCGTGTGTGATAGATGTGAAGTGAAGGAAGATGACTGCAAACTGCCCAAGCTTTCACCAAGTGTTCAGTCACTGTTGATGGAAGGATTTAAATCTCGCAAATCAGACACAGATACAGCAGACTGAAGGGTGCACGTAGACACGTGCAAATCTCAGGCTTTATCCCGTATGCAACGTGCACAGAACGCTTTAAAGGTGGTGGTCCGCTTTTTGGGGTTATTCAGTGTTTGCCCTTGTATCTGACTAAAAATGTGTGCATGCTTGTATGACAGCCATTGGCTGCATTTTGTATGTGTGTGTTTGTCAGGGAGACTTTGCCAGACTCGCCTCGGCTGTACCGAGCCGGGTGGAGCAGGGCAGCTAAAAGAGCCTGAAAGGCGGCTTTTGTAGCTCGGGCTAGCGGAGCGCTCAGAGCGCACGCACGGGGCTTAGCCCCACCACTGCACTGGAAGCAAAGCCTGGAAGAGAGACCCCCCCTCTCTCTCTGTATCGAGCACACACACACACACACACACACACACACAAACATGCAGCCAACGTGACCTGGCGCTGCTGAATTATTAGCAACAAATTGGTGTAGAAAGATGTTTTGGTGGAATGTGGATTTGGTGCGAGCCCACTATGAGCAAAGGTGCCTTTGTTTGAGATACAAGCGTGATAAGGGCCCGATCAGGCGGAGATGTCTTTGGTTTAGTCAGGATCACTTCTTGAGTCGCAGATGTTCACGCGCACACACACAACATTATGTGCTAAAACATCTGTAGCTCAAGAAGTGATCCTGTGCTCAGACACTTGTGAGCAAGGTAAAGATTTTAATTTGGTATGATTGGATGGTTCTACAAAGTTTGCTTGGATACCTTTATATCAAGGAACACAGTTTAAATAAGAGTGTTATCAATGCAAATATTTGTCTGTAAAAAGTGCGTGTAAACATGAAACCAATTTCAAAACAGTTTAATTCCCAATTCAAGTAAAAGCTTAAAAAGTTTTAACACGTTCACTCTCCGTTTGTTCAGTCGGCGGCCGCGTGAACCGGGAACTGACGTACACGCGGCAGAATATAGGCGAGGAGGCCATGTTTAACCCTCAGCTGATGATCCAGACGCCGCGGGAGGACGGAGCCAATGTTTTAACGGTGGATGCGCTGCTGCAGCATCTGGAGTCAGCTCTGCGAGCCAGCAGAGTCCATGTTTACCTTTATAACAGGTAACTATCCCAGGTCTACCCCTAACTAGTACTGCTTCTTTTCTGTCTGTCGGTCGTCATCATTTAAGTCAATTTCAGTCTCAAAGTGCAGTTGGATGCAATCAAAATACATAATGATGAAAGCCGTATTATCATTATTTAATCGGGCTTGCCTAAAGCGCTGCTTGTGTTATATGACCATGACAACAATTAAACCAAAAGTATTTTGCTTTCTCTTACAGACAATGGAAATTAGAAAACCTATGCTACAAATCAGGAGAACTAGTCACAGAAACTCCTTTAATGGATCAGGTAAGATATCTTCAATATCTTTCACCTCATTTTACCTTCTGGATCATATTGAAACATGACTTGTACAATAGAAAAATCTCTTTTTTTTGGTGTGTATATATACTCTCGCTGTTGTCAATGTGTGTCAAATCTGCTGTTTGTTGGCATGTATTTGTCCAATTAGATGATAGAAAAGCTTCATCCCTGCCTCATCATCACCCCTTTGGACTGTTTCTGGGAGGGAGCCAAGCTCCAGTCTGGAATGATCTATCTCCCGTAAGTACGCCAAACCCCCCCTTTTTTAGTTTTATGATGCATCACAACACGCCAACTCTGCATGTCGGCGGATTGATTACGGTTGTTTTTCGTTCACATGATCAGAACTGATTGTGGACAACAGGGTCTTGTTCGCTGAGCTCATGATTCCCCGCGGTTTGTTTAGTGTTCATGGTCGCAGTATTTTGAGATTGTTCTCAAGACGCCGACATCGAGGAGATCAAGGTCCCTGAATCTTGTTTTTACCCCTTTTAGTAGAAGGTGCCCAAACACGCTCAGCCCTTCCAAAAAGACACCATAGAGGAACAAGAGTGTGTGTGTGTGTCCTCTGAAGGCTCTATTGTAGTGGTTCCTGGCATGCGTATCGCTGCCGATCGTTTCTCTCCAGCTTTGGGCCTCACACCATTGTCTGTCCCTTCTGTTGCTAATGGCCTGCTGCTACAGTAATACTCAGCAGGCCTTTACCTAAGCATGTGTGTGTGTGCATGCATGCACATCGTGTGTGCCATTGCCATCAGTGCATGCGTGTGTTATGTGGACGTGTGAGTGTATCAGCTTGAGATCCTCATAGTACGTGAATGTGTGTGTGTTGCCCGTTGGTCTCCGATGGTTAAAAAAAAAGGTTTTTACTATGTTCTGGTTGGAAGGCTGGGAATAATAACCCAAGCCTGGTTAAGCACATACAATGTAGTCTGAATAAGAGAGAGATTTCAGAGAAAGGGAGATTGGAATGTGTGAGGCGTAGGAGACAAGGACCGGTTTAGGAGGTGGAATTCAGCACTGTGCCATTGCACGATGGGAATTGGTCTCCATTTTATTGTTTTGTCACCTAGCAAGAAAGGGATTACAAAAATGTGACCGTTTAGATCAAATTTGGGGATAATTACATATGAACATTTGACAAATGCAAATCACTGAAATACATCCCGACAAAACAAGCGGTAAGTAATTGCACCTACAAATAAACGAAAACACAACATCCTCTGTAAGAGATGGAATAAACTCAACAACAACATCAGGAGAGTGTAAAATTTAGGCGGCTGAAAAGGCACTTTTTTTTACCGACTGTACCTGGACTAGTTAGCACTTATGTTGGCACTTGATTGAATGGACCTATTGTAAGTCGCCTTGGATAGAAGTGTCAGCTAAATAATAAATGTAAATGTAATGCAAATAAAACAGTTGCATCTTGTTTTTGCTCCCAAAGGGAAATTGTAGCTTTTTTTCACTGTTTTGGATTCATTTACCTTGATTATGATTACTAACTAGCTAACGCAAAAGCTCAAAAAGAACATTTAGAAACATGTCATCATTGAGCCAGATTACCTAAACCACTTAATTTGGAGGCCAAAAGGAAAGTGAGCTCAACCAAAATGGGGATAATCCTCTGTGATCGTCAACTGAGATAAATGTTTAGAATAGAATTCTAAGAAAGAGCTCTTCAGAATTACTTGCCAAAAAAGCATCATTAACCAAATTAATGATAGCTTTAAGTACAGATAAATGTTTACCCAGAAACAGGATCGCAGCATCTTAAAACATGGTTGAAGTCATTTTTCCACAGTATCCCTCCTTACTTTTAACTCTGCAGAGGTAAAGGCCCTTTGCAATGGACCAACTTGGACCCCCAAAAGGTCCTTGAAGAAATGGCAGGGGAAAATCAAAGTTTTGAGGAGATGTTGGAAAAGGCCGGTATTGGACACGGCTACATGGATAGACCCTGCCTGAACCCTGCTGACCCCGACTGCCCCCTAACGGCGCCCAATAAAAACTCAACAAAGGTAAGCGCGCAAATACACACACACACACACACACACACACAGTGTCAAGCTTTGGCCTTGTAGTATGCAAACATTTATAAGTTCTAATAAAACATTAAGTCTTTGTTTTGATAGTAGCTTTTGACAGTTATTTCCCTCGCCGGTTGTTTTTATTGCACCAGCCGTTTGACGTGGCGCGCGCCCTGAGCGGCGGCTGCCACGGTCTGTCCAGGAAGTACATGCACTGGCAGGAGGAACTGATCGTGGGAGGGACCACCAAGAACGGCAGCGGACCCCTGCTCAGGTAACATAGCCACACTTACACATACACACCCTCATAAACACGGCTGTGATCCTTGTAGGGCTTATTCTGAAAAGACTGTGCGTGTGTGTGTGTATTTTTTGTTTTTTTATGCACTTTGAAACGGCGCGGGCATGCGTGCGTGTGCGCGATGTGCTGTAAATCTTGCGGTCATTAGCAGATTCCAGTGAAATCTTAGAACTCCAGCTGTTCCTGCTCAACTCTGGACACTCTGCTTGGACACTACCCACTCATACGCACACACACACACACACGTACATGGGGCGATCCATTGCCGGGCTAGTTTGTCCAAACATGCAGCGATTTTGGGTTCATGGATTTAATTTCCGGCACAAGGACTCGGACAAATCGTTATGGTTGTGTATTATTATGAGTATATAATCTTCACATGTGTGCAATAAGCTGTAAGCTGTCCTTAACGCAACACATTTATCAGTCAATCACTGTCTTATTCCAGATTCTCATATTCCAAACATACGCAGGAATAAAAAGCATGATTTAATCAAGCATTGAGAAGCTTTCCTTTTAATAAGAGAAAGCTCCACAAATCATCCAATGGTTTACTCCTGGTCTACTTATTTTAATGTGATGTTGCAGTTTGGATGGCTCGTGCTCATGCATATACCCACACACACACACACACACACACACACACACACACACACACACACATTTAGACGCAGACTGGCTCCAGAGTACAGTGGGGTGCGTTGTTTGTTTTGTGGTTGTGTTTTTTCCTGGCAAGATTGGGTCATTAGAGTATGTGTGTGTGTGTTTGTGTGTGTGTTTGTGTGTGTGTGTGTGTGTGTGTGTGTGTTGTTTAGTTGCTCTGTCCATTGGGCTGTTACTGCTGGCACTCAGTTTCTACATCTTGTTTACTAATGGCGCCTTTCCACTGCACGGTTGACTCGACTCCACCGCGCTCGCGTCGGGGGGGGGACCAGGTATTTCTCCGCTTCGTTTTCCACCGCTGGTAGAAGCCCCTCAGTGTGCGCAGGGTTTAGTACTAATCACCATAGCAACACTGCGTGAAACCGGAGTGACATCTTCTCCGACGCCACACCGCTGAATAACTTCCTACGCAACCAATCGCGTACGCATTTGAGCTGAGGTAAATTTTAGGGCAAATGTTCAAGAATAGAAATAAATCTAAAATACAATTTCAATTTTTTTAGATGACTATAGATCTGCTATATGAAAACTGCTGTTTTATGCGGGATGTGCGGTGCTGCGCTAGTGACGATTCCCTTTTACTTTTAGTGGCCTGCAGTGTTTTTACTCTGAACCATCTCTGCTCAATTTGAGTCTTGACCGACATGGTAACAAAAAAAAGAAAACAACAGTTACCATTTTTTCAAATGGGAGAGTCTAGCTCGAGCCGCGTTGTACTACACAGTGAAATACAACATAACTTCCACCGTTATCGGCATTATTGCCTTATTACAGAGATCAACATTTATGGGAGTTTGTTCCCACGGTTCCTCAAATTTTAAATCCATATATTAAAAATACCTTTTCTTGCCTTATTACCTCTCTGACGTGTGTATCAAGCAAGTTGTATTCCTCATCATACTGTAACTCACGGCCCTGTTGATATCTGTCAGAACATGACCGGGACGTCCAGATATCCATTAAATAGAATCCGGTACTTCCTCTGTCACTATCAAATCCGTCCAACTGGTTTGGAATAGAGCAGAGAAGATATGGACCTATATTTCTGAGGCATGTTGCTTCAGACTGTTTTTTTGATGGCTCCTGTTGCCGCTTCATTACAAGAAGTCGTAGCTGTGATGCTGGTTGAATGAGAAGGGCTATGAATCTGAGGGAGAGCATGTTGGAGATGGGGAGGTTAGTTTTGGACACACAAGGAACACGTATGGATTAAGAAAACCGTCCTATTGTCTTTTTGTGGGTAGTTGAATATTAAGAAATGTGACGATGGTCACAATGATTGTTTAATCCGATTGTTGGTTGTTTAAAACAATTTAATAGACAAAGGGATCAATCACTGAATAAAATAATCCCACGATTATTAACCTTAGCCTTTAGGTTTGATAGTTCCAACTTTTCTGCTTCTCTCGTTTCCCCGTTGGTGCTTCCAATCAAATTTGTTATTTTGACATCATCTATTATCACACAGCTTTTGGTGTTCAAAGCTTCCAATAAGGATATTCATTGGTGTGTCTTGCACATTTCAAAATCCACGTTTCTACGCTCTTTGATGATCACTTGCACAATCCAGCTTGCGTATCCTCTTGTGTAAACAACAATTTATCCTTCCTCCTTTCCAGTGCCCAAGCCTTACAGACCATGTTCCAGCTGATGACTCCCAAGCAGATGTTTGAGCACTTTCGGGGCTACGAGGAGGTTTCCCACATCAACTGGAACGAAGAAAAGGCTGCAGCCATACTAGAAGCCTGGCAGAGGAGATACTCTGAGGTAAAGAGAGAGAGAGAGACACACCTAAAGCCTCTACGACCATATCATAAATCAATGACCGGATACAGGTGAACATGGAAAGGCCCCATCCGAAGCCCGGGCCCCTGATGGATACTAGAACCACTGTGGGTGTGTGGTGAAAGGGAAAAGCCTCCCTCCCAATGCTCAGTGGAAAGGTGCAATAGAGCAACACGGGGAGATGGTCTGGAATACATTACAGGAGTGCTGGATGTCTCTCTTTCTTTAACTTGCGTACAAAGACATATGCAAACACGCTCCAACGTTCCCACACGATCGCTTTCCCAGCTGTGGCCCCATTGGTGGCTCATGTGTGACATCATCTGGTCTTTGTTTTGGGGGCCCCCCAACCTCTGTTCGACACGGCGTGACCTTGTGTGTGTGTGTGTGTGTGTGTGCGCCGTTCGTCTTGGGGCCCAGAGATCACAGATAGCTCGACAGGAGGTGTGATCGTTTTGAATGCAGCTTTCTTATCCACCGCAATCAAATAAGAAGTAAAAGGTGACCAATTTCTGTCTTATGGCAGCGTGTTATTGTATTACTCACGGTTAGGCGTGCCTGCGCAAATAGTATGTGCATGCATGTAGGTATGTGCCTGACACATGTGCAAGTTCACGTGTGTGTGTGTGTGTGTGTGTGTAATCTATTGCGTGTTTTCTAATGTGTGTCAGCCAGCATTGCTCCCCACTGAGCAGTGACTGCAGTTCAATGTTGAAGCCATCTGTCTGCCTTGAGATAGTGAGAGAGGGAGAGGATTGGTCAGGGTACTGTGTGCAGATTCCTCCAAATACCAACCGAGGCAGAGCTCATTATTCAGGGCTGGGTTTTTTCTTTGTTGCCTTTTAAAGACACACAGGGAGAGATTTCCCTATTCTATACATGATATTCATCAAACAGGCCGGAGGACCGATCAGAGTTTTGCTGTCGTCTGAGGTGCAATTTTATTGAATTGGGAAGATGGTTTCTCTGTGATACACATTCAACTTGTAGTATTTTTGACTGAACATCAGGACATCTGCGAGCGTCAGTTATACCAATATGCCAACTGATATATTAATGTAGAAATGTGGAAGGGAAGAGAAATACATTTTAGTCTGCAGAGAGTTGAGCTGATTATGTCCAGAAACAAACCTCTGAGTAGAAGAAGAGGGCAGGAGCTCACTATAAAACAAATCCAAAAAATCAAGGAATTATGGCCGTGTGGTCATTGAACCTCCATTCGAGCGATCACTGAGCTGCACAGCACATTTTTGTGGGATGTATTTTATTCCTTCATAAACATCCTGTTCAAGTTTGTTGTTTAAATGTAATTCCGAATAGTTTTCATTGCCTTGGAGGTTTGTTCAAGGACTCAATTAATTATTGCATCATTACTTTCCTCACCGCCTACCCTGTTCCTCTCTCCTTCTAGGCGGTGCTGCAGAGTGTGGCAGCAAACTCATCTCAGAAGGTCTTGTCGTTCACCAGCACCACCCTGGAAGATATCCTCAAATCCTTCTCCGACATCAGTATCATCCGTGTAGCCAGTGGGTACTTGCTGATGGTGAGAACAAAGCCGCACTGACGGCACATTTTTGAGGAACCCAAGTGTAGGCTTGGATCGACAAAAGCTAAAAGGGGAGGACAGACTCTTAATGACTGGCTGATAAATGGACTTCTTGTTTGCTGTTGCCAGCTGGCCTATGCGTGTCTGACCATGCTGCGGTGGGACTGTGCCAAGTCTCAGGGGGCCGTGGGGTTGGCGGGCGTCCTGCTGGTGACACTGTCTGTTGCAGCTGGCCTGGGCCTCTGCTCTCTCCTGGGCATCTCCTTCAATGCTGCCACCACGCAGGTAAGTCGGATTAAAAACATGACTGTGTGTCCTTTTTTAAAAGCTTTTGATTATACAAAGTATGACATCTTGTCAATGATGATACTCATCTCAAAATGAGAGAAATTTGTACAACCTGTAACATTCTGCGTGCTAGAAAGTAAAAAGGACCAACGGGGTTGTGCTGGCTGTGGTCCACCTTGTGGATCGTGGAGCTTATGAAGTTTTTTGTGCTACAGGTGCTCCCCTTCTTGGCTCTGGGTGTCGGAGTGGATGACGTCTTCCTCCTCGCTCATGCCTTCAGTGAAACCGGACAGAACAAGAGGATCCCGTTCGAGGTGAGGCAAACGTCCCTGCTGTTCGCTGGAGGAATGTGTGTGAAGCCTGTCCACGCTTGTGATGTGGCACCTAACAGCCTCCTGCATGTGCCACACTCTGACTAATCTAAACAATGCGCCATATGAAACGCACAAAAAAAAAAAAAAACATTGAGAAATGATTAAATAATGTACATATTTATATACTTGTGTGTGTTTGCTCAGCGGGATAACTTTATATCTCCAGATGGGAGTAGACACAGGCATGTATTTGCTTCTTTTTGCTTTCCCCAGTTACCCTCCCCTACAAGCTTTGCATCCCTCATCCCCCAACTTCCTTTGTGAGGCGGAGATGAAAACTAACCCGTAGCTGAACCTGATCTCTCTCTGTCAGAAACACACACACACACACACACACACACATTAGATGCACACGCCTGCGGACACGCACTGTGTGGTCCTGCACGTCCTCAAATCTTCACACAATTTCCGCGAAACCCGCTGTCTGCATGCTTATCACTGAAACAGGCCCATCAACAGTCTTGATCACACTAAGAAGTTTGTAGTTTTAGGCGACGGCGTCGTTTCTTCTCCACTTTCATCTGAGCTCTTCAAACAGAAGCTGACAGGCCCAGGTGGCTTCTTTAAGAGCACTTCGAGAAACATTGCAATCACTGTCAGTCACATCACTGTTCTGATAATTGTGCGTAATCTCAAGTATTACACGGTTTGCCTCTGGCTACGATCTGATCAAAAGAAGTTCTGTGGCTTTTCCCTTCATCTCCCCGTCTGCCTCTGTCTGTCAGGACCGTACGGGCGAGTGCCTGAAGAGGACCGGGGCCAGCGTGGCTCTCACCTCCATCAGTAACGTCACGGCTTTTTTCATGGCGGCCCTCATCCCCATCCCGGCACTCCGAGCCTTTTCTCTACAGGTATGCCGGGTCGTCATTGAGTGTGTGTGAGTGCGAGTTCATTGGGGTGGGGCTTGATGGGGCCCTGTTCCAGTACTCGCTTGGACAGTCGTTTTATTGATTTCTTTTATTGAACTGAAAGTGTGTGTGTGAGTGTGTGTGTGTGTTTTGTTAAATCCATCCAGCCCTCTGCCTCCCCCTTCGAGGAGGTTTTGTGGTGGGCCCAGTGTCTGCCCAGATTGCAACTGAGGTCCACGTAACCAAATCCCTTTTGCGGGTGCACGTGTGTAATGTGTGCGTTGTGAGTTGTAGTACCTGTGTGGGAGGTTTGACAAGCAACGGTCAGACTGATTGTGTGTGTGTGTGGGTGTGTGCGTGTGTGTATAGGTGGGGGGAGATCAGGGGGATCAGAGGGGGAGCACTGACTTCCCTAACATCTGTCAGTAATTACAGACGTCACCAGAACAGCGAATTCTAGTGCAAAATCCCTCCAATGAGCAATAAGATCGTTAATTGAACGAACGCTCGCTTGAGAAAAGACAATAGCAGATTCAACTGTTAGTGCTTGCAGCGATTTAAGGAATGTAAGGATATAGTAAGACTATGCATACAAACAACTTTGGGTTTCCCAAAACAGGTTTGACCAGCTTGTTGATTGGGTCAATGTTGGACTCTTCATCAACAGGATTTAACCCAAAATTGCAATGTCTGAGTTTATTAAAATATTCAAGGCTTTTCTCAACACTTTGCCTTCTTTCATATCGGATTTTTTTTCTGCCTCTCGGCTCAGCACGTTGGGAGGATTTACTCAAGACAAGCTGTAGAAAATTGTATATTTTGTTGCTTCTGTTGTCTTTAAGTCCGATTGGTTAATTACCTTCTGGTGGAAACATTAGAAGCTTGCAAAGTTTGAAGGATTCTTGCAGCTAAATTGAAAACGAAAATCTTTAAGAAACTTATCAGTCAAACAAAGCATTCATCGGACAATTTCAGCACCTTTTTTTTTGCAGTTTTGCCCTAAGTAGCCTGTCCTACTTACTGTCTCTCTCTCTGTCTCTCTCACACACACACACATAGAGACACACAGAGTGCGGCAAGACGTCGCCACAGTGAGTACAATATTAGCACGTGTGGATAGATGGCTTTAGTACCGCGAGCCTGTCAAACGTGATCCATTTACCCCTTGGGTCTAATCCATGCAGCCTTGTTTTTCTGCACACCGATGCGCACACAGGGAGACAAGCACACACACAGATGCACATAGCGTGCATACTTTTCACTTGTGGTTTTGCGACTGTTGGAGCGCTGGCTTGAAGTGAGGCAGACAATCATGCCGATACCCATCTTTTATTATTAAACACACACACACATACACCTCACAACCCGCAATCAGTGGTAGTCATCTCTCTGCCTCATAGAGATGCGTGTTAGTATGTGCGCGTGAGTCTCTTTATCAGCATCAAGCGCTTCCTGTGGTCGACTCCTCCACGGATTCTTCTCTCTCTCTCTCTCTCCTCTCCTGTATGTCTCTCATCCGCTTCCTTGCATCAGTATGAACAAGATAACGACACAAAAAAACGCACACGTTTGTGCGCTGAAAGAACAGATGTGATGATACATCTCCCCACTCCCAGGTCAGCTAGCGGCCACTATCACACTGCATCTGTCTGGCCTGTTGAGAATTCACTGTTGTACTTACAGAAGCATCGTTCTCTCACATTATTTCACTCTCTTGTTGACTGAGTTGCGTGCTGAGGAATGAGGGAGGGTAAGGATGTGTGTGTGTGTGTGTGTGTGTGTGTGTGTGTGTGTGTGTGTCTAGTTGGTGTTAAGGTGTGGTTTAAGTAGGAGGCTTCACAGTTTTTTAAGATGGTAGTAAATGTGTGTGTGTGCGTGCATTTTTTTGTGTGAGTGTGTAAGAGGTGAGTGTTGTCTATACAGCCGCAGCGCCTGCTCATCACCTCGGGCCCCGCGGGCCTCCGGCTCCTTGGGTGGTCCGGCGCACACACACACGGGATTGTGTGTGTGTGTGTGTGCGTGCAAGTAGTGGTCTGGCAACCATGCAAGATCCAGATTGTTTTCTGGGCAGGGCCCCAACCTAACCCCAACCCTCTGCACCAGTGCACCACCTTCAAATACTTAACCACAACACTGCACCGGCTTCTATTACAAGGCTCGTTTTTTGCTCTGCGCACTCTGCGTTTTTGTATTGCAAGGAAGAGAAATAGTGTTGAAAGGCTATTTTTTTTTCCGCTCCGACGGCAGCTTATTACGATTGAGTTATTTCAAGATGTATTTAAGGCTTCCCGGTGTTTGTGATTGGAGGAAATAGGTATTTTAGGCCAGACGACATCATAACAATTAACAATTATCATTTTGCAACTTGTGCATGAATGTGATTGAGAAATACTTTCTCAGTTTATTACTGAAATTCTAGTTCATTCTTCCTTTTCAGTGGATTTAAATCTTTTGTAGCCACCTCTTTTGAAGCCACAGTTGATTCAAAACTTCAGCCCACCACAACCTTTTTACTCCGTGTCTCCATTGTCACTTACAAACTACTAATCCATGTTTTTGATAAAAGTGCTGTTCACAAATTAAAGTTTGCTCTGTGTCTCTCAGGCCGCAGTGGTAGTGGTGTTCAACTTTGCCATGGTGCTGCTCATCTTCCCCGCCATCCTCAGCATGGACCTCTACCGACGCGAAGACAGGCGGTTCGACATTTTCTGCTGCTTCTACAGGTGTGTGCACACGCTTACAGACATCTGCACAGATGTTCTTTCATGTTTGATGATGGTTAATTGCACTCGCGTTTTTCGTCCTTTTATGATTTCCTCTGATCTGTGACCTTACCATGAATAATAATATCCATAGAATCTGAGTTCCTTAATCACAGCATAATTACTGCTTAAGCTGTCTGTTCTCTGTCTGGCTGCTTGGTCGTTTTACTGGATTTATCTGTCTGTTATTACTGTATTACTTCATTAAACTGAACAGCATGGGCTTGTTGGTACAGAGATCATATGGATCTGCAGACGCACTATTAAGTCCCCTTGTTGGATCTCCGCTAGATTCACTGCAGTTAATTAGAAATTAATACATTTTCTGTGCGTACTGTTGTCAATAAATTACATAACTAACTATGAAAGTTTCAATTCACATATATATTTTTTACAGCGGTACATAATCTGACATTTATCCACTGCCGTTATCTCTTCAGCCCTTGTGCCAATCGTGTGATCCAGATCGAGCCCCATGCGTACCTGGATGGGGCGGAAGGGAGTCGCTACAGCCCTCCTCCATCCTATTGTACCCCTCCACCCTCATATTGCACGCCTCCCCCGAGCTACAGCAGCCCCCCACCCTCCTACAGCAGCCACGGCTTCGCCCAGCAGACCCAAATCACCATGCAGTCCACGGTGCAGCTCAGGACGGAGTATGACCCCCGGACTCAGGCCTTCTACACCACGGCTGAGCCAAGGTCCCAGATCTCCGTGCAGCCCATGAACACAGCTCCGACGAGGAGTAACCCCAGCAACGACTATTACAGCGGCAGCACCGGCAATAACAACAATAACAACAACAACGGCAGCGGCAACGGCAGCAGAGGTAACGGGGGATCTCGAGGTTCTGCCAACTTCTCCCATCATCACCCTGCTCCTCCTGCTGCTGCCCCGACCTTGAGCGCCAGCTCGCCCCGTCAGGGTGACCCTGCCTCATCGACGGGCCAGAGCCCCGAGAACAACAGCTCCACCCGGGACCTGCTGTCCCAGCACGGAGAGGGCTCCATGGGCCTGCGGTGCCTCGACCCTCCCTGTTCCCGCTGGACCCTGTCCTCTTTTGCGGAGAGGCACTACGCTCCGTTCCTTCTGCAGCCCACCACCAAGGTGAGTTCAGCATCTCGGTGTGTTGTTTCTGTAGAAAAACAAGGGAAGAAAGAGGGGGGGGGGGCGTCTGTGTGAGGTGAGACTGTGTTTGCGCTGACTTGCCGTGGTGATCATCTGAAAGGGAAAATGAGTCACTAGAGCGAATAGAAGGAGGAAATCTGGTCTGGAGTTTGTGGTCATATCTGAGTCACGAACACACACACACAGTCTGACCTCAATCTAGTGGGTGGCCGGTCAAATGGAAGCCTTCCAGAGCTGAAATCATCGGGTGGCCTGTACTTATTAGAGAAGTCTTGGTCTTTTCAACACACTGTCAGATGTTTCACCATCTCTGCCAAATTGCTTCACGCACTCCTCTGATGCCTTAATCCAGTACTTCCAGTAAAATAATGCTCTGATTTTTATCTTTTTTTTTTGCCGTCACTATTAATCTGCTGCAACAAAACTTCGTGCACACAGTTCAAATTTGACATGGAAGTTTACAACACGGACCTTGGATTGTCATTTTACCTCCGGGTTATTAAAGATGTCTACAACTATCTGACTGCCTGGTGTTTCCTGCCATGTCACAGGCGACTGCTGTTTATTAATAGTAACCACCGTGCTATTTAAAATAAATAAAAAGACTCTTTTTTTGTGAGCTCTTGGGATGTATTGCTACTAACATTGCTTTGCGGTATGTTAAGTATCCACAACTTTGCTCTTCACTCATTCAGAATAAACAATAAGGTTTAAGCAGTAGCTGAATCTTCTTTCCAGGTGGTGGTGATTGTGCTGTTCTTCTGCCTGCTGGTCGTCAGCCTCTACGGGACCACCCAGGTGAGGGATGGCCTGGAGTTGACGGACATTGTGCCCAGAGAGACCAGCGAGTACGACTTCATCGGGGCCCAGTTCAAGTTCTTCTCCTTCTACAACATGTACGTGGTGACACAACGGGCCGATTACGCCCAGAAACAGCCTCTGCTGCACCAGCTCCACCAGAGGTTCCACACCATCCGCTACGTGCTGAAGGAGGACAACGGGCAGCTGCCCCGTATGTGGCTTCACTACTTCAGGGAATGGCTGCAAGGTAAAGTTAAGCTTGATAATTACCATCCAAACCAGACCGAAATGGGATTTATCGAAGAAAGAACCGTGGGTCGCACGTAGCAGTGAGATTTGTTGTTATATTTCACCCAAATACTGATGTCATAGATAATTGTGTTATTACTGCCTCGTTTAACATCCTATTCAAGTTAGTTCAGGCATGGGAATAATTGACTTTCCTCTGAAAAGGTCTTTAGATCATAGTTTTCTTCTGTGTTTTGAGATGAATCTGCAGGAAACAAGATGTTGGGAATGAGTTAAGAAGTATGAAGGATTTCAAAAAGCACGCTGACAGTAGCTTGATTAAAATCACGTGTCGTCCACAAGTGGGGTTGACGGACCGGGACGAAGCCTGAGGTCATATTTTTATACTTGGCCTCTGGCAATATACAGGATGTGAGAATCGAATGGCAGTAAAGACAACATCGCCGCAAACTGATTTCAGTTGGATAAGTTCTTTTTTTCATTACAATCCATTCATCAGAAATATGAACTATTTGGCGGAAGACAGACACTTACACCAGCGTGGACCTTGAAGTCTAAGAATTGTAAAGTGCCACTGGACAAGAATATCATCTTCTGCACGTCGACCCGAATCTGTGAATGGCCTCATTTTCAATGGGGAAGCGCTGACTTGCCTGTAACGATACACCACATTGTCTGAGTCTGTGTGTGCGTGTGTGTGTGTGTGTGTGTGAGCCGGCTGGGAACACACAGAGAGTGTTCGGGTGGGAGAGGAAGAGGGAGAACTGTGTCTGATATTGCTCTCTGCGATGGTGGGACAAATTGGAGCCAGACAGGCCACGGAACGAGACCCAAAACAACATCTCCCACAGACGGACCACAGCATGAGCTTTGGGGGAGAGCCGAGAGGGGGAGAGTGATACACATATGGATTAGAGAGTGGTATACAGGGGACATATGTTACTGATATATTCCCTAATGGCGACTTTGAATCAAAAGCTGCGTTTTCTTAAGCTTTTGAAGTCTTGTTTGGTGGTTTACAATGGAACCAAGTCACTTTATTAAATCAATCAGGCTTATTACAGGGTTAGGTTGCAGTATTGCACACATTATCATGTGCTGTTCTGGATTGTTGTGTTTTTTTCTTTTTGAACTCTGCTTTATGAGTGTGCTGCAGAGGAAGAATGAAGATAACAGGGCATGTAACCTTCCCAAACATCCACATCTAACCAGTGTGTTTTCTTGTGGTTTCCTGCAGGCCTCCAGCAGGCGTTTGACAAGGACTGGGAGGCCGGCCGCATCACCTCCAACAGCTACAGGAATGGCTCCGACGATGGCGTTCTGGCCTACAAGCTGTTAGTGCAGACTGGACGCAGGGAGAAGCCCTTCAACCTCAACCTGGTGTGTGTAGAATCCAAGCCTGTGTCAGTTGTTCCCACCAGTAAAAGGGATTCAACTGGTTTACAACGACTGTGATCTGACGTCGGTGTTAAAAGTGCTTTCTCCTTTTGTGTGTGTGTGTGTGTGTGTATGTTTGCATGTTTTGTCCAGTGGGTTTGGGGCTAGAAGTGCCACACCCGGTTTAAAGACTGCCTCTCTCTCTCTCTCTCCATCCCGTCTTTTTCTTCTCCCCCCTTTGTCTATCTTCATCTTCTCTCTGTGATGACTTCACCGAGCTCAGAAATGTAAAGCTCTCACTGGGGCTGCAGCTCGCCTCAAGTAAAACCTATTAACTCTTCATTTAAACCATTCGTCACACTCGGTAGTTCTGGGTGTGCGTGCAGCGTCTTCACAGTGAGATGTCTTCCCTAAGGGTCAAGCATTTTAAGATGGTTAGTGATTCCAAACACAGCTTATACTCGAGAAGTTACTCCCCGATAGCATTGTAAATGTAAGACAGATAATTAGAAATGTCAAAATATTTGCATTTGTTGCATATTTTGACAAATGATTAATTGGCTTCTCTATGCAGCTAAACAAAGTGAGTGTACTATTTTAAAGGGTCCATTAGTTTGTGTTAATTTTTAACTAAGGCTTGGACTGGTTTCATTTTTTCTGCATAGAAAAGCATCCAGATTTCATGACTACATTACACGCAATTATCATAATCTTCTGACAAAATGTAATCCAGCTGTCCCGTCACCAGTGTGGAGGGATCTCTGACATCAGGCAATGGCAGAAGTCAAGCTAGGGAGCAGATAAGGCCTTGGATGGTCCAGAGGACGCTTCAGCGGGATACTGCTCGCTGTTTTTAGTTTATCACCTACATGAAACAACACACATGGATACAGAATTGCATTCCTTGGCTGGAAACGCCACAAAACAGAAGATAAGAGGCTGGGGAAATAAAAAAACAAAAGTCTTTATGAAAACACTGAGATAATTTCCATCCATCCATCCATCGTCAAACCGCTTATCCTGGGGGGGGGCTGGAGTCTATCCCAACCAACTTCGAGAGACGGGGTACACCTTGGATTGGTCGCCAGCCAATCGCAGTGAGATCATTTCCCCCAAAGATAATTATCTTTGACATATAGCTCCGCTTAGTCATGTTTGTGATTTGTGTTGTTTGTGAGTCTGTGTCTATTTTACCTATTGAGCGCTATTGCGGCCGCGTACTTCTACTCTTATCGCTTTCACTAATCGGAGCAGGAAGCAGAGGCTAATCCTGGTGTGCGGCCCTGTGGCATCACTTCCTGTGCCTGTGAGGGAAATGTATTTGCCGTGAGGCGTGGGGGCCGCCAGCGGAGATGTCTGGGCTTCCTGTGACAGCCTGAAGACATACAGTTGTTGCGTATCCCGCTGCTAAATTCAATCCAGATCTTCTGGAATCCAGCCCCCCCCCCCCCTCTCCTGCTCACACTACCACTCTCTCTCTCTCACTCTCTCTCTCTTTCTCTCCATTCCTCCCTCCCTCCCTTTTCCCTCCCTCGGTGCTCCACTGCAGTGTCCTCTTTCAATGAACGGAGATGAAACACGTGCTTTCTTAGAGGCAGCGCTGTGTGTGCATTTGTATGTTTTTGAGTGTGTGTTCTACTTTTCTGTCTGTAGTAGCATTTTTTTCTGTGTGTGTGTGTGTGTTTTAAAACGAGGACCAGATCTTTTCCTACCCTTGCAAATTGCAACGCTAGATGTTTTATTTTGATATGCCACTCCATGGATCTGTGCAGAAGGTGTTTTGAGTTTGATGTGCTGCTGCTAACATTTCCCTCTGTGCTGGGCGACCATTAATTCCTCATGGCCTTGCCTGGGACTCATTTTGTAGTTGTGTTTTGTGCGTGGTTTCGATAGAAGGCAGTAAAAAGAAAAAGCTTGGGGAGGGAATAGGAAAGGAAAGAGCCCTTTTCTTCTCAGGGCAGCGTCGGTCGCTGGCGCTGGGCATTCTGGGTACCAACAGGGGTCAGGGGAAGCAAGCGTGAGCAACATTTGTACAGATGTTGTGTTATTTTTATAGCTCTACTCCATTTGCTGGGTGGCATTTCCTTCAGTGTTAACAACCAGGTTAACTGCACACAGACGCGCTGAGGCACTCCAGCCAATTTCTTTATTGTTACGCTAACTCAAGCAATTTTTCTCTCCTCACTCTCCCACTCATCCCCTCCCCCCCCCCCCCCCAAAAAAAAAAAAAAAACACAGCTCCCCTTCTCGTTCTTTACTTCCACCCATAGGTCCGGCTTCACCCGCAAAGCTGTCAGTGAGGGAGGGATTTATAGTTCCTAGAAGGGGGGTGGCGGAGCGGTGTGCAGCGATGGTTTTACCTCTCAGGAGGCTGCAGTGCTGCGCTACACGGCCCTGGTTCCACACCAACACCAACAGAATCCGCTTGGGAACAATTCAGCATCCAGAAAAAAAAAACACTTGTGTTTGGTCTGATTCTACAGGTTACCTGCAGGCTTGCAGAGAGACAATGTTACAATGTCAATTGTATTCTTAACCTGTAGATCAGAAGCGCCGGCATCACCGTATTGTCTTGTATTGTGTGTGTATATGTGTACAATATCGTACCCACCTGCACCAGTCAACCAGTCAACCTTGGCCCCTCAGTCAAGGCTCATGTAAAGCTTTGAGCAACAGGTAAAGGAACTATAATGGCAGATTACAGTTTGTGGTATATTTCCCATTATTAAGATGAATACGTGGTTGAACATTCGTCTTCCGCAGCTGCTTCCTGACAGAAAATTGCTTCCATCAGAAATGTATTCACAGTGGTCAGGACATTGGGCCTGATGTTGGCCAGCCAATATCTACTGTATGTAAAGGGAGAAGCTGATTCAACATTTTCCATGTTTTAATGTGGCATGATCATTCTGGGAAGCCGTGATGAGAAGTACGGGAATTCTGAGAAAGGGGACCACTGTTTGACTTGTTGATTTTTCTTTGGTTGGAAAGAGAGGGGCACTAATATTTGACTCTTATTTTGAAAGCTAGTCCGTTCTCTTGCACTCATGCATGTTCATAAGTAAGCATTTCTGTGGTCAACTCACCTGTAAAATGTTTTTGGTTAAATATTTATTATTTCTACAATATCTTTTTGGGTCCAGTGTTTACATAACGGATGCAAAACTGCTGGTTCCGCCAAAAACAATTTTTCTCCCTTAATTTCACTTTTTCTATTTGCTAATTATTCCATTTTTTATGTGGTTCTGCCCATTGTGAATTTGAAAAAGCTCATTTAATGTAGATGCACGTACGTGTTGGAATGTTTTAGGACAACACAACAGAAGAAAACCTTTGGTCCACATTGGTGATTATGTTACCGTCATTAATTGATCTCCTTTCTGGGTTTTGCAGCTGACTCGTCACAGGCTTGTGGATGCAGATGGGATCATCAATCCTGGGGCTTTCTACATCTACCTGACCGCCTGGGTCAGCAATGATCCTATGGCATACGCTGCCTCGCAGGCCAACATACGGCCGCATCCTCCCGAGTGGCTCCACGACCGTACCGACTCCATGCCTGAGACACGCCTCAGCAGTAAGTCAACCTGTCCGCGAAATATGCTAGGATTCAAACCAGGAACGTTTCCCTTTGACCCAAAGAAGGAAATGCCAATAATAGCATTTGCTCCAACTATAAAGCTAATTTGAAATGATAAAGTTCATACCTGTTGTACGGTGCAGTTGAACAAATTGCATTTATTAAAATTTCAAGCAAACTTTTTGTGGGGCTCATTGATCTTGATTGCAACATTTTTTAGTTTATAAGGCGGCTGCTACGTGTGAGCAGTGTTTACCTCATGTGGTTTGAGTTATTGGTCTTGTCTGCCTCTTAACTTTAAGTGAGGTAGTAGACTTTACAGTACCGCTGCTGTGTATGTGTGAGTGTGTGAGCTCAGGTTGCAAGGCTGAGGACCAAGACACAGCTCACTGTGGTTCTTCTAATGGTGCCTGTGGTGAATGCTATAATCCTGTCTACCATGGGGCCCTACCACTACCACTTCACGCACACACACACACACACACACACACACACACACATTATTAAAACTCAGTGACCCCAAACAACACGACTCACTCTTTTCTCATTTCCCTGCCACACACACTGACTGTATCTCACATTAATAAAACGTAGAGTCATGTTGTTGTTTGATTCCAGCTTGTGATTTTGTGCAAGTCAGGAAGTGCTCCACGGGGGAGGAAAATGATTGGATAACGCAGACAGACTTGGTTTGGGTGGGAAGCACAATCGGATAACTAGCAGGAAGCCCTTTGCTGGGTATGATTGGATAAGCAGCGTGACGTGTTTGACTGTGCACGAGCCCCCCGGAGCAGATCTCTGTTGGCCAAAAGCCCAACTGGTGTCCTGATGGAAAGTTATAGCTGACATTGTAACGGGCCTAACCATGTTAGAAAGTGCTCCTCCCTGACGACCTGCAGCCACTTTTGGAATATAGACACTCACACCAAGGCCAGATAATCCCAAAACATGTAAAAAAAAAAATCAATATTTTAAAAAGGTAGACGTGGAGTCTGCCATATACAGCAATGTGTTGTTAATTACGCTGCATGCAAAAGGCGGATTGAACGCACCGTTTGGACCGGCACCAAATAGGACTTCGTAGCAGAGTGACAGGCAGGTATGCGTGTTTATGCATCCAATTTATGCTTTATGCGGGGGGTTCTCGGGGTGTGGTAATTGCGGTTATTCGACATTGTAATTACCGTGAATCACAGTTAGCTCTGACACTCCACTGTGTCTGGAACTGATGGGTCCTCATTAGCCAGACTGGGCCACAGACTGGCTGGGTTTGAGTCAATGGAGCTCTGTTTCAGTCTGCTCCGCCCACACCACACACACACACACTCACCCAGCAGATGTAGCTGCTCTTGGAACAAGGTTGGATTAGGGAGGGAAAGCCTTGATATTGGTGGTTTTGTAAAACGATACCCGCGGATGCACTAAATGATCCGAAACTAATGATAGTTACTTAGACTAGACAAACTGTCATCTGTAAATGTGACTGTTGTTCCGTAATAATCAATCAATTTCTTCTAAATTAAAAATGTTGTCACCATGAAAGGCTGTGTAGCTTTCCTTCTTACCAATTAACCTGCCAATCATTTTGCCCCCCCCCATCCAGTCCCGGCTGCTGAGCCCATCGAATACGCACAGTTCCCCTTCTACCTCAACGGGCTCCGGGAAACGCCTCAGTTTGTGGAGGCCATCGAGAGCGTGCGCGCCATCTGCAGCAACTACAGCCGACAAGGCCTGCCCTCCTACCCCAACGGCTACCCTTTCCTGTTCTGGGAGCAGTACGTCAGCCTGCGCCACTGGCTCCTGCTGTCCATCAGCGTCGTGCTCGCCTGCACCTTTCTGGTCTGCGCCCTTTTCCTGCTCAACCCGTGGACCGCCGGCATCATAGTGAGTGCTGGAAGGAACAAACAGACACGCAGAAATGGTTGATAATGCCGGAGAACCACTTGTACCTGCTCACTCTTTGTTACCCACGTTAGATAAGCGCATCGCTTGGCTTTTCCTCTTTGCCAGCTTTTTAATTCAATTTTTCTTTTTAACGCGCGGTTCAGAAGGCGGCTAAGAGGGGACGGAGTCAAAAAGGAGAAGGGGCTGCTGTGTGTTATTGTAGCCTCACTCACCAGTGTTTATCTTGTGCTGTTTTGTTAGGGCCCGTCTGTTTAGTCTAGTCCAACACTCCCAAACACTGACGTTGAAATATATGGGGAGAGGACACAAAGTTGCTCAGACAACTTGCTCCCCACTCTAAACCTATAAAAACGTAGATTTTATTTCCATCCTCCGCACTCCTACGCTCCCCCTCCTCTCACTTGAGGAGTTTCCAAGGTTGCCCGCAAACTCGCTTTCACATACTGGCTCACGGACACACGCACACTTTGAGCACACACGCAGACATGTATTTACTTGTGCACATGCAGTATGAACACGTACACAGGCAGGTACGACGAATGCACAAAGCCCTCTGGTCATTTTCTCTGGTGGGTTGTATTTTATGACAAGCCGGGGCCAGGCCACCCGAGCCCTTAAACAGGGGAGGAGGGGACCTCACGTTCATCCTTCAGGCTTTTTACGAGCAAGATCAAAAGACAAGTTATGGATCAGTGTCAAGTTTGACCGTTTTCTCTGTCCAGGACCAGACACTTCAAACCCTCTTAGCTATTTGCACAGAAATTCATCTTAAATAGTGACAGGCCTGTTTACATATATATATATATATATATACACACACAGATGTTCATACTATCTGATACTGATTGCTGTTCACACTTAGGAATCAACCATATCTAGAGTGGTCACTTGTGATCTTGTTTTGTTCCCCCGTTGCTGCACACACACACACACACACACTGCGGGATCGCTCACTGTACGTGTACTCTCACACATACACACGGCTCCCTCCTCTGCCCACCTCAGCCGTCTTCAAAGGACTTGGGCCCCATGTAACCTGACGCCTGTCAGCTGATAATGGCATTTACTCCCAGCTCCTGTCCCGCTTTTCACTGAAGCCTCCTCGCACGCACACACACACACGCACACGCACACGCACATGCACACGCACACACACACGCATACATATTTTCCCCACACGTATAGTTTCTTAACACCTTTTTCATGTGCTTTTCAGGTCTTTCACTTGGGAAATTTTAATTTTGATAATGAATTGATGAGCATGCTCAGACCGCTTTTAATAGCAGTTTTCAATTTCAAATTGTTTGAATTTCCTCCACATTTGTAGAGCTGTTCAGGATCATGACATGCTCCATAGATTAGTTAACACAGATCCATTTATTGTAAGAAATATGTGTACTTCTTACGCAAAGAAATGCTCCAAACTGAATGGTGTCTGTTTTTAACCTTTATCTGTCTTGTCCTGTGTTTGATTAAATGTATAAAATCCCCTTGTGGTCTAACAGAAGCTCATCATTTTCCCCCTCAGGTGTTGGTTCTTTCTCTCATGACTGTGGAGCTGTTTGGCTTTATGGGGCTGATGGGAATCAAGCTGAGTGCTGTTCCTGTGGTCATTCTCATCGCCTCTGTGGGCATCGGAGTAGAGTTCACCGTCCACGTGGCTCTGGTTGGTTTTTTTAAGAAATATATTGTATAATATTGTTTTCCCTGATTCCCTTTATTTTTGTTAATCCCTTGACGACGTGACCTAAAGATTCCGTCTGCATGCAGGCGTTCCTGACAGCCATAGGGGATCGTCACAAGCGAGCCGTGCTGGCATTGGAGCACATGTTTGCTCCTGTGCTCGATGGAGCCTTCTCCACCCTGTTGGGTGTCCTGATGCTCGCTGGCTCTGAGTTCGACTTTATTGTCAGGTGAGTTCAAATAGCAAACCCGATGAGGAGCTGCTACGGTCATTCGGGCGAACCTATGAGCATGTGCAAATGTCATCGTACGTTGCCTGCGTGGCGTTAGTAGACTGTTGAGACCATGCCTGAACCCGTATGTGACACAGGAACCTGAGCCACCGGCGATGCACGAAGGCTCTGTGCTTTCTATCACCGTTGGTTTCTTTCTCGTCTTCCACCCGCATCCTCCTTTCATATTCCCTTTCTGTAAACCTCATCCCGTTTACTGCTACCAGCGACATACCATGCGTCCAGGTTTTTTTTCAGATTTCTGGGAAATGCTTTTTAAGAAACGACATAAACACTGCCTTTATCTTTCCCCACCCTCCTCTCCCCTTGTGTTTTTTCTTTCATCCTCCTCCTCTCCCCTTAACGTTTCTCATGCCTGACATTTTAAGGGAAACCAGGGGAAGGAGTTCAAGGTCAAGAGAAGGAAGAGGAGGGGGGGTTAGGATCGAATAGATGGGGAAGCAGAGGGAAAGGAAGTAAAAGAGAGAGAGAGGTAGCAGGAAGGTTTTCTGGCCTTTGTAATCTCCTCCAGCTAGTTTAACGGCCCCTGCTAGACATTTACAAGCATGGGAAGGAGTTACGGGGTGAGGGGCGAGAGGGCAGTTGTGGAAAGACAGGAGAAGTTGAAATGACACACCGTGGGGGCTCTTTTGTGTGTGGGTGCTCTTGCAAGCATCAGACTGAAAGGTAGCGACGACCCACCCCACAAGGGAGGAAAATTAATGACGCTCTGTATTCTCAAGCCCGGAGTATAATGAGAGGTTTCCTGTGGGCTGAACTGAATAGTAGCTGAAGTGGCTGTATAATTCGGGGGACCCGCTCCTTTAAGAAAAGGGAGCGCTGGCGTCCATGTGATCGTTGAGCAGGCAAACTCTTGTCACGTGCACAGACCTACACGCCGACGCACACATACCAACCTGCTCCCTGACCTTGTAATCACGGGGGTCAATGGTGGCGTGCCTGCCCGTGAAAGCACACGCAGCTACACACTTGGAGAAACGCACACAAACAATCGCACGAAAAACAGGGAGGCGTATGGGCCTTCTCTCCTCACCTCCAGTGGTGTGCTCTGGTTTCTGGCTCAGTCCCGGGCCTCCATTTAAAGGCTGTGCTGTTGTCTGAGCAAACAAAGCAGCGGCCCGGGACGGTTCAATAACAACAGGCCTGGCTCGTGTTTTTCTGCTTGCGCTGAAAGAAATGTTTCCCTGGCTTTCCCCGTCAGCCCTGTGAATGTTTTCACTCCAAACAGCCTGGTATGTGGGCTGCACGCGTGCATGTGGAGATGTCTGTGCGTATCCAAAGGTAACGTGGCGTTCACCCTTCCTGGTGTGTATGGACATACTAACCGGGGCGATGACACACTTATTTCAGTTCCACTTAGGGGAACGGTTATGATAATCTAATAAAGTAGATGACAGATGGTTGGGTGGCCTTTCAATAGTGTATAGTGTGGGAAGAGCTTTGCCAGAGACCAAGTCAAAGGTCAAGTTATGGGTACTTCCTGTCGGCGCTCAATCGCTGACAAATGTTGTTGAACGTGAACTTTGGGCACAAGTTCACTGACATTGGAGACCTTACTGTCAATGGCGGAAAATGGACTCAGGGAGTCCACCGCAGTGGGGAAACGCTTTAAACATTTTTAAAAATGCCTAAAAAGCTAAATCGGAAATGTTCCGAAAATGTTTGCCCTTTTCTTTGCATGATTGCATATGCATTGGATGTATACTATTAACTTTAAGTAGCAAACAACGAGACATGGGTTATTATTGTGTATGCTCACACAATCTAATTATCCTAAAATGACCGAATGAAAAAAAACATCAACCCTCATGTAAAACACAGCAGGCTAGATCTTATCAATTTTATATAATACTGCATTTTAGTGGCAAAGTCCTTTGTTTTTTAACTGAATGTATAAAAATCACATGGCCCAATTTATTGTGTGTCCATACCAGTAAAGGCATTTAGCATTTTATTAAGTTCCCATCCGGTTGCAAAGTCAGACTCCGTGTCACCGTATTGTGCAGGTGAGGCCACCCATGCTGTGAGGACAAGAGGCAGCTCTCCTCACTTGAGGCTCCTCTTTGCAAAGCCTGCCTTCCAACACACACACACACACACACACAGTCATTGATATAAACACCCACACAGATTACGAATGTGCGTTTAGTTTGAGGCCCAGCTGCATCGCATACCAGCGCATCTACACCTCAACTAGCTCATTTAAACCCTAACACACACACACACACACACACACACACACACCGCATAGTTGAGAGTAAAGTGTTCAGGGTTCAACAGCGTGCCCCTGATTACCTGAGAGCTTCCACTGGACAACCAAGTGCGAAGGAAAGCCCTCCCTAATGAAGAGAGCTCAATTGGAGAGAGTAAAGGTGGCCGGCGGGATTCAGAGGGGAGATTCGGGGAGTTTACCTGATACATTGGAGATTTAATTAGACGGAGGGGATTGTGGAGTGGCCGGGAATTTCACAGGGGCTTAGCTGGAAAGAAGGGAGACGGAGGCGAGGCCGAGAGGAGAGGGGAGAGAGGGAGGAATCAACAAGTGAGAGAAAGAAAGAGACCAGGGAGGGGAGGCGCTCTGAGGGTCCCCTTCTCTTCTTCCTTGACTGAATTGTTTAAATTCTATACCCTTCACTTCATTTGTGTGCTTCTCCCTCTCTATCTTTTTTTAGAGGCGAAGAAGAGAGAGAGAGAGAGAGAGAGGCCCCTGTCCTGTCCCCCTCCCTCCCTTCACATTCCTCACTGCTTTGTTTTCTCCATGTTTGCTTATACACCACACACCAAAGAGAGAGTACCCTCACCCCCATTATCCCCCTCCCACCAATACTTTTTGTTCCCTTTCTTCCCGGGCCTTTGAATTAACCAGCTCTGGCTAATTATGCTACTCCTTTTCTTCTCTCTCTGCGGCTTCTTAAAGACTAACCCTCTTTGGCAGGATGTAGAAACACACAAGGTAGATTTCTGTTTTGCTCCTCAAAACCATAGTGTATGCCTGCATGTCCACGGGGGGTATATAAATATATATGAATTTGTGTGTGTGTGTGTTTGTGTACCCACACACAGACACGCACATCTCATCTTTGTGGAAGTATTACTTTGGGTGTGCGTAATGGTTGATCTTGCACATGTCTCCCCACGTCTGAACCTCTGTGGTTTGCACAAGTATTTTCTTTCTTTCCAGCCGGATGTTTCCCTCCACGTCTGTGTGTGTTGGCCTGGCCAACTCTGCTTTTCCTCTTTTGTGCCTGTCATTAAATTTCTCATGTAAATAGTAAATACCTTGTATATCTTTTAGGAAGCTAGAGGAATTCATTGTGTTGTGCATGTAGTGTGTTTTTTGCTGACCTATTTGGGAGATTCACGTTCATTCCATCAGCTACTTCAGTGTGTGCCTTTGGTGTGTTGCAGGTATTTCTTCGCAGTGTTGGCCATTCTAACTGTTCTCGGAGTACTGAATGGACTGGTCCTTCTTCCAGTATTACTGTCATACTTTGGGCCCTATCCAGAGGTACGATCCCCAAAATACAACCATTTGTAAGATGGAACAAAGTTTACTAGAAATAGTGTGGGATCTCTCTTCATTTACAAGTGTTGCATCTACATAAAGCTTCATCTTCACCTCTCCTTTCACGTCCCAGGTGTCTCCAGTTGATGGTGGCAGCCGGTTACAAACTCCATCCCCGGAGGCCCCCCCTCACGTGGTCCACTTCTCAGTCCGCCCTCACCACAACACCGCGGCCACCACCACCACCTCCGGTGCTGCCTCGGACTTGTCGGACTCGGAGTACAGCTCTAACACCACGGTGTCCGGCATCAGCCAGGAGATGCAGAACTACAACCTGCCCTCACACAGGGCACAGCCTCGGACGGAGGAGCAACAGTACCACCTCCAGAGCAGCAGGGGCCGGGGGGTCCGGACAGAAGAGGAAAGGAGAGCAGGGTCCGGGCATAGGCGCTCAGCCAGACAGCCTGAGCCTTCTACCTATACTGTGTCTTCGGTAAGAAGATTTCCTGCCTTGTGTTGCGTGTATGAATATCTATTTGGAGGTGTTCTTGTTTGTCACGCTATATCTAAACAAATGATCGTCTTGCTCCACAGTCCTCTCGGGGTTGTGATTCTGGGGCCCAGCCCAGGACCACTCACCGTAACAGCAGCAGGGACCCCAAGAGCCAGCTGCATTGGCAGGCCCCGCCCCCAGCCCGCCCGCGCACGGACGCTTTTGAGACGGCTACTGAGGCTGGGGGCCATCGCGGCTCACACGCCCACAGAGAACGCTCGGCAGGCCGTAGAGCCCGCTCTTCCCACAGCTCGCAGCCGAATCACCATCACCTGCCGCACCACCACCCCAACCCCGCCCCCTATTGCCAACCTATCACCACGGTAACGGCGTCGGCCTCCGTCACCGTCGCTGTCCACCCGGCCCCGTTGTCCAACCAGGGGCCCCCCGCTCCTTCTTACCCGGGATTCTCTGCAACAGACAGTTACTGCCCATCGGGGACGGAGGAGGGCCCCGAGCCTGCCTTCCCGGACCCACACGTGCCCTTGGACACCCACGCGGGGGCCAGAGGGGTCAACGTGGAGGCCATGGAGCTTCAAGACTGGGAGTTTGAGGCAGCGGACAGCAACAGTGGCAGACGGGCGAGCTGAGGTGAGCGTCACACTGCTTCAGTTGGTACATAGTACAGACGCCTTTTTGAGAAAAATATGTTTCATCCGAAAGAACTCACTACACGCTCTCCTTTTCTTCTTTTTCTTTTTACCAGTTGTGGAGAATGGAAGTACAACGGCCAAAGATGGACTCCTCTGTATCACTAAGCCCGCTGACCCGGCCTGGCTCAGTCCAGCGTAGCCCTGCTCAGCTCGATCCTCGGCAGCGAGAAACTGGCCATTGTTGCCGTCGTGGTGCTCATTCTTACTGTAACCCAGTGGACTAGTGGCTTAGATATTTCTATCTATATTTAAAAGATGTATAAATATGTAAATATGGGCAAAAAGTAGCTATGATTTTAGGAGCGTTACAACTCCTCATAACAGACTGGGGCCGCCATTTTTTATGGTGTGTATGTGTGTGTGTGTGTGTGTGTGTGTGTGCGTGTTTGAGTTAATGTGTGCATGCAAATGTGAGATAGAGGTACATCTCTGATAACTGCTCACTCATCTGTGGATCTGTGCCATTAGGAAGCTTCATCTAGACAAAAATACCTGTCAGCATTCACTGTTGCTGCTCGAAATATTTTTTTTTAAACAATTTACATTTTTAATTCTATGCAAATGTCTCTTTAAACAAAATAAGTGATCGGTTTTTGTATATGTTGGTTTGAATGTATGTGCGTGTGTAGTGAAGTGTGGGGCTGTATGATGAGAAGCTGTCGGATACACAGAACAGACTAACATTTACACTCATTTAACATTGAGAGAAATTGTTAGTGATTAGTGAGTGATCCAACAGGCCTATTGTGTATATACTGTACATATATATATATATATATATATATATATATATATATATATATATGTGTGTGTGTGTGTGCGAGCGCGTACTTGTGTGTGTTCATTATTGTATAAAGATACGCATGTTAAACTATTATTTTTTTTATCACAAACCTGTGGTAGTTATGAAACAATTACTGTTTAACTTGACACGCTATGCGTGCTATTTAAGACGAGCAGATATGAAGAAATTTTAAAAGCTGTTTTTGTTTTGTTCTATTAGTTATCACCTCTGCATTGGAACCTGTTTCAGCGCTCAGCTTTGTGTCACAGTCTGTTAGGCTGCCCTCTGGTCGCATTTTACTGTAAGCGGTTATGTATTGTTTAACCCCAGCAGGCTCAACCCAGGTTCTGTCTCATGTACTGACACACAAGCAGTAAACTCACCTCAAAAAAAATCACGCTGTCATGACAGGGACGTTGACATGACTGATTCTGGAACAGGGTCAACACGGGGCACTAACTCTGTCTCGTGGATAAGCTAAAACTTCATTCAACATGGCACTTGACTGCAAAGTTAAACTTCATCTGCAGGAATATCTCACCTCAAGTAGCTCTTTATTTCTGTCCAATCTATAAGCTAGCCCACGCAGCCTGCTAAGGGATAAGACCTATATGGCCTGACGATGTGCTCTATGTGTGTCTCAATGTACAGTCTATGTGTATAGACGTGTGTGTGTGTGTGTGTGTGTGTGCTGGTGCATCCTCTCACTCTATCTTGGCTCTCCTTTAGACACCATGAAGACAACTGGCCCCAATTCGGCATCAGCCGTCCACACTGACCACAGCTAATAAAAATGTGCCGAGGCACTAATTAGACTTCGCTCCCAAAATGCACAACCCAGAGCCTCAGGGGTCAGAGTTCAGACTGCCAGCCCCCCTCCTTACCAGCAATGGCCAGTTTACATGTGTCTTTGTCAGCATGCATATCGGTAACCCCTCCGGTTACAGACCCGGCCCCCTCTGACCCCGCCAGTCCCCCCCGCCCCCTCCCACACACACCGGATTGCCTCCGCCTTTACTGTTGGACACGTAAAGCTCTTCCCAGAAGTCTTTCAGTCCAGCAGTTTTTCTCCCCAACACATTTCTTCAGCTGCTTGCATGAAATAGGTTGTTCTGTTTGTTTTTTTGTGTTTGTTTTTTTTCTCCCAATGTCACATTGGCAGTAGCGGAGAGACTTGATAGCTGGCAACTATTTTATTCATTTTGAAGCGTTTTTTTGTTTGTTTCTGTTTAACGTTCAATTGCGATATTTATATTTTTGTAATATAAAATATTTGTTTTATTTTCTTTTGTTTTTGTCATGATGCCAGTGGATAACAAATGCAGGGATTTTTATGTCTATTGAAAAAAACTATTACAGTTTAATGTTTTTACATTAATGGAGTTTGATCTGTATAAAGTGCTTACTAATGTTAAATAGGAAAAAAGAGTATATAACATTTTACACTACAGGTCTCATCATAGCTCTTAGAGGATTTTAAAAGGAAAAAAAATCAGTGGTTCTTCCAGACTGCCATTTTGGTCTTGGTTGGCGTGGATGTATGCTGTTTTCAGTTACAAAGATAAATGTATGCCATATAATTTATTTATATGAAAATTTATTTTTGTAGTGTACATAGTAGTTGTCAAGGTATTTGACAGAAGTATATTTTTAAAGAGTTTATATGTAATGATATACCATAACAGAAAAAAAAACCTTAAGGAGCACACTTTCACTGCTAACCGTCTTGTGAGACAACATCTACACCTCCCCTTCAGTATTATGTTCCGATCCTTGGAGAGAGACAGCTGTTTCCATGGCTTTGTCAAAGGCTTAGCCATGAAAGTAGAAAATTGTACTAGCTCTCTAAATATTAATGTTCAAACACTGATAGAATTCTAACAAATAAAAATATTATAACTTATTTGTCTCTTTGTTCATAACTTTAATAAATGGATTCTTAAAACGATTTCTTTGGTCTGACAATGAGTTGAATTTGTTTTTTTGTCTTTTTCCAAAGAGTTTTGTGGTCGAAGGAATAGTTGGAATTGTTGGGGTTTGCAGCAGTCTCTTCAAATTTACTAACATCCAAGCAAATATGCTTTCTTTCCCAAAATATCAAACCCTCCCTTACATTTCTTGTGTAAAGCTGTTCTAGTGAGAGTCACTACAGAAAAATCCCCTTATGCAGGTGAAAATCTGTCTGGTATTCCCAATTAACCATAGCTACAGGTAAACATGACCTCCCCTCCCTCCATGGTGTCCTGCAGTGTAAAACTCTGACATCTGGTCTGGAGCCCTCCCCAACAGCCCACCCGGCTCCGCCCATGCACCCCCCACCTCTACTCCCTGTTCCTTATGATTTTGATTGACAGCTTTATAGACTGCAAGGAAATTGGTTGTAGTTACAATACAGCTGGCCTGTTCGGAGTAATGAAAAAGGGCATGTGGCCTTGAGCTGGCTGCACTGATGGGGAGAAAGAGAACGTGCCTTGTCAACTGCATGGGTGGCGGTGATTTATTCTCATATGCTCGAGGGTTGTGAGAGAAGGGTTTTTTTTGACCCACCAACGGGCTGGCAGCCCTTTGATCAAATCACAATTAAGTCTTGCTGTAATGTAGGTGACCTTTTATGTATTGCTAATATCCGCAGCCTTCCTAAACCACTCTAAACCAAAAACAGGGGTTCAGTTTTCCCGAGCCGCGCTCTCGACCTGAAACTCACAAACGCAGAGGAACTCGCTGACCCTGGTTCAGCGGTTTGAGGCCGGCAGTAGGCATGTCATTATCTTTTAAAGCCAAAAAAGGCGTACTGTTCTGCTGAATGCTGTCCAACCAATGCAAAGAAACAGACTGACATCGTACAAATGATAGGGTGTGTTTGGAAAGCCGGGTGGCAGGATGTTGTCTGTCACGGGTTGAGTTTTTCTAACTGGGCTTGACACTGTTGGTGTGTTGCTCGATGAGCACACTGAGCAAAGGTGCAGCTTCCTGTTCATTTAACGATCTCTGACTGCATAAAGGTTATTTAAAAGGTTTGCTGAAATAGATTTCACACATTCACATCATCTGGGAAGATTGACACGCAACCTCTTCATATTTAGATGTTTGTCCAACTCACTGATGGAAAGCAGTGTGTCAAAAAAGCGCAGAAAGGTGAAATATTCGCGACCACCCCATGGACGTTTGTGGGTTCACATGGTTCATTGAGTTCTAATGTTGTTAAGGTCTCTTTCACCAGCACTCCCCTCTTCTGCTGGAGGACCCTGGGTCAACCCCCCCCCCCACCCCTCCTCTGGCCCTGCCTTACCCTTTAGCACCCCTCACCTCTAGCCCCTCTCACAAACACTCCAAGTTGCCCTCAGAGGTGGAACTACACATTTTGTGGAGAGTGCTTCACTGCAGCTAACAAGCTCCAGGTTGTTAATGAATGAGTGTTTCCTGTACCTGTCCTCTCAGCCAACAGAAAGGGGGGGGGTTGATGGGAGAGAAAGATGGGGGGAGGACAAAGGAGGAAAAGAAAAAAGGCAATTAAGAAGGTCCTTCTCTCTTGGACTAATGGGACTGTTCCACTGTGGCTCATTGCCCAGACCTAGTGACAATGAAGCGGATATATACTGTACGACAAAGCTTTTTTTTCATGTGTAAAGTGAAATCTGCAAAAGGGAATTATTGATTCCTGCGCTCCAGTCCTTCTTTTACATCCAACTGTCCCTCCCACTCCAGATTTCCATCCCTCACTCGTTCTCTGAAAGGCTTTTCCATCATCACCTGCCGGTAGAGCTAAATCCTCTGAGTGTATACTCTCCTCTACATGAATGATTGCTTTGTTGACATGACTGAATAGGACACACGCAAACACGCCTATACACTCCTGCCGGGTTTACACAATCTTTATAAAAAAAGCGAGTTTTAAGAATAAATCTACAGGAAGCATCACATGGTGAGTTGATACAACTCCGGATCCAGATTTCTGCTTTTTTAGGCCTCAGACGCCTTGAAAACCATTTGAACTTTGGACTTATGGTGCTTTTGTGGGTGCGTTTCCAACAATATGTGTACGGACAAGTCAGACCTGAGTGACAGAAAATTGATGTAGAACAACTGTGTGTCTCAGGTTGTAAATATTAGCCTGATGTAGGTATTGTCTTTAAATGTTGAAAAGGTATTAATTAACTTAAATCTAAACTGTTTTTCCCATCCCTGTTTCTATGAGCCTGAAAAAAGTAGATCAACATTGTTGAAAAATACATTTATATACTTTTTTTTAGATTGAATGTACTTAATTTTAAAACTTGAATACTGCAAAAAGACAAATGACCTAGTAAAGTAAAGTAAAGTAAAGTCGGCCATTTCCATACTTTACGTTGGATGAAACAAACAAGTAAATATATGTTCATAAGTAAAATACATGTAATGGTATGACTGTGTGGCTCATCATAACACATCCTACTTCTCTTCTATTCTATTCTATTCTTTCGGCAGTCTCACAGTGGGTGGTTTGGGGCGGGCTGTGGTGCTGGTGCTCAGTCCAACCCTGGGACCAGTTTGACTTGGCTGACTGCTTTATCTCCCACAGAGGGAGTTTGTTCTCCCAACAAGAGTGATCCAGAAGAATGTGAGGTCCAAGTCCCCAGCGGCCGGACTTACATAAACTTGCAGTTAAAGCTCCGTTCTGCAGGCTGCATTGGTGAATTATAACAAACGAGCCCTCATGAGAACTATGCTCGGCATCTGACCCGATGTAGAGCAGTGATGCATGGCTGCCTACAGATTCTGAGCATACAGCGCTAGGTCGTGTTGCAAGAGCATCTGTGCTCTGATTCTCCTTCTTTTCTCTCGGCCTCTTTCAGTTTGTTTGAGTAAGAGCAATCACAGTTGGATTTCAGCTTTCTGAAATAATCATTTCTGATCAAAGAAGATGATTGAGTGGACGGATTGTGAAGGAATTGAATGTTGGAAAAGAGGTGTCCGTCAAAGGGTCTCAAATGTGCAACTGGAAGTTGCGTTTGAGATGCTCCAAGCGTGCACATTGAAGCTACTTATACATACATTTATTTTTTAATCCCACTCATGGGATGGATTTAAATGACTTCTCTTATCTCAAAATAATTCGTTAATTCATTTTAGTTCATGACCAAATTCCCCTGTAAAACTAAGGATAATCCCCATCAGCCTCAGCTATAGCTTTTTAGTTAAACTAAGACGGGGAACTTGGTCAACGTTACAGCTGTACAGTATCAGCGTGTTAGTGAGCATAAAGCTCACATCTATATTTTTACACAATGCATTTCAAAATGAATTATAACCCTATTTCAGTTTTACATCATTCATACATGATATGTTTTGGAGAAAAGCTCTCTTTTGACTTCCTCACTCACTACTACTACAGCTCTCCAGGAATCCAAACAGCAATGGGCTGAGGAACAAGAGCGAGGGAAGCAGAGCGCCGAAGAGGTCCAACAGCCAGGGAACCACATCCAATTCTTAGAAACAGATGACATGATTCACTATGCATTCAGCTGCTTCTGCTGCAAGAGCCAAAGATTATATCTCTCTCACTGTTTGCAGTAAAAAGCTCAAGAAATAGGCCAAGATTATTATTGCTGCTGGCCGTTGTTGCTGAATTCAGACAACAGGCTAAATGAAATGCTGATGTGTCATTTGTAGTAATTTTCACCAATGTTCACAGCCTCGTATCCTTCTCCTGTGCGGCGAAAGTTCAGACCACCCAACACACAAGTTTGAGATTAAAGGTCAGAAAAAATTGGACGACTTACAATATAATCAGAAAAGAGGAAATGCATTGTGGCAAGGACGGATAAAGAGAGAAAGTGTGAGAGAGAGAATGAAGTAAAAGGTGCAATCAAGTCAAAAAGGAGTCCAAAAAAAAGTATGGGAGTAAAGACAGATGGAAAATGGCGGGAGGAAGAGAGTGAAGGAGGGGGGGGAGGCGTTGCAGGATGGTTGATGGTGGATGGGAGTAGCCGTATGAGAGTAATTACAAAGACTGATGTTGTTTACTCCCATTTCCCCTCGCATCATTTATTCTGTGGAGGTGGAAAACCACGCCAAGACGCGTCATAATCTTTCCTCTTCCGCTTATACTGGAAGCATTTATCCAGCGCTCTGCTTCTCTCCCTCTCTCCTTCACTCATTTTCTGCATCAATCAGACTTCACTCTTCACCTTGCATCTGCCGCTGTCCCACTCCGTCCGCCTCCCCGGCTCCCTCTTTCCGTTTTTTTGTTTTCATTACTGCAGTGTTGACACGGCTGCGTGTGACTGCTGTGATGGGCTGAGCACATGTAAGATGTTAGCATGATGTACGGCCGTTTACACTGGAGATGACAAACTGAGGTTGGATGCTGTCATCCGTTCTTCCTTTTGTTTAATGTAGTCCTGGTGGCATGCACACACACACACACACACACCAGATGAGCACACACCACCCACCTCTTTGTTTAAACTATGCTGTATGTCTTTGCCAGCAAAACATGCAACAATGTATGGAAACAGATGCGTCATCCAAAACACAAAGGGGGCAGAGGAGGGAGAACGAGAGACCAGGAGAGACCCAGAACTAAATCTTTTCATCTGTGGCTGAGAGTGTTGAGTAAATACAGGATTCTGCAAAGCCAAAACTGGAGGGTATGACTTCACATGCTTTTAACACTTTGTACAAACGAGGAAGGTATTAATCTGTAGGTCTTGAAGGAAATAATAGTGTTACAAATTACTAGAAGTACAGTAAAGTTGAGGAAGGTCTTTCCTTGGTGATGATGGTAAACACTCTGGAATTTGCTAATGATCTGCTCATTCACAAAGAGGAGAGGGGCGATTCTTTCCCCCCCTTCCATCTGTGCTTATTGATTCTGGCACCATGACAGATGCCTAATGAGAAACAGGGCTGGAGGAGAGCTCCGAGGACCCAAGAGGGAGCCCCCGACTGAATAAACGCACAGACACA